AAATTTAAAATAACCTTTTAAAAAAATATCTCATAATGTTGTGGGTTAGAAATTAAGCTGTGGGGGGCAGGGCAAATCTTCAACTCTGTGCCACCGGCTAGGGTCACTTGACAGCACTCAGCTGTCACTCAGGCCAGTCTTGGGACCCCTGTACCCCTTCTGGTATCCTCCGTGGGTGCCAGCATTCACAGGCCCTCTCCATGGGGAGCATCTACAGTTCCTGGGTATCTTCTCATTAGTTTACAGTCATGTCCTCCTCTGTGCCTGCTGAGTTTCTTTTGGGCTGTTTGTTGGTCTGTAGGAGTTCCTTTGGTGTTCCAGATTTCCAGAGCAGGAAGAGTTCAAGGCCTGCCCCTGGGAGGGTATGGCTGAAGGGGCGTGGATTCAAAATCAGGGATGAGGTTGGGGTGGTGAGGCATCACTGTCAGCAGGAAGCAAGGACCGCCTTCAGGGATGGAGGACAGCATCCTGGCAGCAGTCAAGGAGAGAGGAGGATTTGTGGAGCCACTTGGGGCTGAGGATGGGCTAAGGGCTTGTGGGAGGAAGCCTGGGCCACAAGGTGGATCCTGCCTGGGGATCCTGCAGGCGAGGCAGGCGCGGCTGACTCCTGGGCACTTGGGACTCCAGGGCTCTTCCTGCTGGGCTGTTCAGTCAGAAGCGTGTCAGAGCCAGGCTGCCTTTTCCTCATGCTGGGAGAAGGGTGCGGGGGCAGGAGTCTGGTCTTGACTCAGCTCTGTGGGGAGAGACGGGGTGGAGCTGCAGGTGACCTGTCACTGCTCAAACACACACCCCTGCTTCAGCTTCCTGCTGTGGAGTGGTTCTGTGGGGTCTGTCCTTCCTTGTGAGCAGCTTTGGATGGACCTGGTTGTTCAGCTATGGCCTTCTGACCATCGCAGACTCTCTTGTTTTTTTGTCTTTTTTGGGTGGCTGGCCAGTATGGGGACCCGAACCCTTGACCTTGGTGTTACAACAGCACACTAACCAACTGAGCTAACTGGCCAACCCCAGGCCATAGTAGACTCTGGACACACATCTGTTAGACTGAGGAATTTGAGTTCCTGACCAGAAGCTGGTGACAACCTCTGCCAAGAGTAGTTCCTGGTCTGGACACTCCCACTGGGGAGGGGGAGAGGACCATCCACCCCACGATGCAGAATATCAGCCCTCCTGGGCAATACTGGCCCAGGAAGTCAAGGGCCCCATCCTCCAGTGTGCCAGCATGTTAAGCATCTGCTCAGGCGGGTCTGAGCACATTCCTGCAGCCTGAGGTTGGCAGCTTCCTGGAGTATGAAGGGTGTCTCCCTGTCTAACTGATTTGTCTGAAGATGGGTCATCAGGGGGGTTACAAGCATCCTAGGGAGCTGATCTTTCACAGGTTTGGCTGGGATCCAAGGTGACAAATTTGGGGGTCACCCAGGAGTCATTTGGGTGAGCATTAGGGCCCTCCTGCTCTGGATTGCAGGACAGATGTAACCTCATTAGCCCGGCTCCATGGGAGCACTCCGAGATGGGGCGTGTCCTCTGCAGGGTGGCAGGCTGCTGCTTGGCCTGGGGTGTTACCAGCCCCGTCTGAATTCCTGTGCTGGGGGTAGGCAGGGGTTTGGGCTTTCGGCTGGCTGGGGCTCACACCGCCCTCCCCTTTGCAGCCATCCGGGTGACCTGCACGGGTTCCTGTGGGGTTTCCAGCAAGGCCAACGATGCAGCCTGGGTGGTGGAGGAGGGTTACTTCAACAGCTCCCTGTCGCTGGCCGACAAGGGTGAGTCTGGGAGCCGGGCCACACCCCTCCCCAGATCTGCTTGTTGGATCCCCTGTCCCAGGCTGTGGGCCCTGCTGTAGCTGTTTCACCCTGCCCCTCATCCACAAACCACTCTCCTGCCCAAGCCAAGCTCATCCCAGTCCTTTGTCCAGGCTGTGGCCTTGTGCTGCTGGAGACAGGCAGGGACACCCAGCAGCCAGGTGCAGCGAGAGCTGGTTGGCTGTGGTGTCTACTGCTGCTCTGGTCCTGTGGCCACCATGGGCCTCCTGAGCCACTCCCCACCACCTACCTCCTGTCTCTGCAGGGAGCCTGCCTGCTGGAGAGCACAGCTTCCCCTTCCAGTTCCTGCTTCCTGGTGAGAGCCCAGCCTGTCTTGGTAGGGTGGGCCGTGCAAGGCAGGAGGCAGCCGGTGCCAGTAGTCCTTGCTCTCTCCCCCCAGCAACAGCACCCACATCCTTCGAGGGTCCTTTTGGGAAGATTCTGCACCAGGTGAGGGCCACCATCGACACGCCACGTTTCTCCAAGGATCACAAATGCAGCTGTGTGTTCTACATCTTGAGTCCCCTGAACCTGAATAGCATCCCGGACATCGAGGTGAGGATGGAGCAGTGGCCTCTGTGATGGCCCCACCCCTGTGAGGGTTGGGGGAGCTGGGCAGGCACAGCTTCACCCCAACACCTGTCCCCAGCTGGAAGCAGCAGCCTCTCTGTCCTGAGCTGACTGTACTGGTGTCCAGGGGCAGGGTGTGGCAGGGCTGAGTGGTCCAGCCTGCCAACACCTGCTATACCCCTCCCTATCCTTCCCCACAAGCAACCCAACGTTGCCTCTGCCACCAAGAAGTTCTCCTACAAGCTGGTGAAGACGGGCAGTGTGGTCCTCACAGCCAGCACTGATCTCCGTGGCTACGTGGTAGGGCAGGTGCTGAGGCTGCAGGCCGACATCGAGAACCAGTCGGGCAAGGACACCAGCCCTGTGGTAGCCAGTCTGCTGCAGGTCAGAGCCCTGCTCTGGCTGCCCAGCCTGTCCCCATGGGATGGGTACAGGGTGGGTTGCTGGTCTGCCCAGTCTCAGAGGCTGGTCTTTCCCCAGAAAGTGTCCTACAAGGCCAAGCGCTGGATCTATGACGTGCGGACCATTGCGGAGGTGGAGGGTGTGGGCGTCAAGGCCTGGAGGCGGGCGCGGTGGCAAGAGCAGATCCTGGTGCCGGCCTTGCCCCAGTCAGCCCTGCCGGGCTGTAGCCTCATTCACATCGACTACTATCTGCAGGTTCAGCACTGCTGGTGGCTGGGTGGGCTGAGGCCCGGTGGCCTCGGCCCTGGCCCCTCACCTACCCCCTGGTCCTCCCCAGGTCTCCCTGAAGACACCTGAAGCCACCGTGACCCTTCCGGTCTTCATTGGCAATATTGCTGTGAACCATGTCCCTCTGAGCCCCCAGCCAGGCCTGGGGCCACTTTCTGGGGCCCCATCCCTGGTGGTGCCCTCTGCGCCACCCCAGGAAGAGGCTGAGGCTATAGGTGGTGGCCCCCACTTCTCGGACCCGGTCTTCCTGTCCACCAAGAGTCACTCACAGCAGCAGCCACTGCCTGCTGCCTTGGGTTCTGTACCTGGGGCCCCTGAACCCCGTCCTCAGGATGGGAGCCCTGCCCCCCACCCTTTGCCTCCCCCCTTGTGCATCTCCATAGGTGCTACTGTCCCCTACTTTGCAGAGGGATCCGGAGGGCCGGTGCCCACCACCAGCACCTTGATCCTCCCCCCTGAGTACAGCTCGTGGGGCTACCCCTATGGTGAGTGAAGGAACCAGGGCCTTGTGGGGAGGGGATGCCATGAGTCCCATGCAGACCCTGCTCTCTTCCCACAGAAGCTCCGCCGTCCTATGAGCAGAGCTGCAGCAGTGCTGACCCCAGCCTGACGCCTGGGAGCTGACCCTCGGGAGCTGCCCCCTGTGCTGCCTTCTTCCGGCAGGCCTAGCCTCTGCCCTGGGACCGGGATGCCCAGGGCCTCGTGCCTTTGCTCCCGGCCTGGCCCGGCCCACTCAGGACCTTCAGCTGCCCAGGTTGCCCCTCAAGGACCCGCCTCTGCCAGCTTCCCTGGAGTTAGCCCTTTTCTCCCCTGGGGCTGGGAGGGATCTGGGACCTGGAGAGGCTACTTGTGTAAATAAAGTGCTGTATTTGTAGAGCTGGGCAGAGGCTGGCCTCTTGGGCACCCTCCAGCCTCTGCCCCATCCCTGTGGGGTGGGGAGACAGGCAGGGGACCCTGGGGTGTGGGGAGCCGGCCCAGCCTGGGTGGAGCTGCGTGTTGGTTCCCTTTAACCTAAGATGGGCTGGCGCTCAGCATCTTGGGTCAGCTTAAAGATGGGCCCATGGAGCTGGGCTTGCATATCCAGAGGCTTGGTGTTACTTTAAAGTGTATCTGTGATGTGGGGCGACAACTACTACTGTTTCACTTTTTTTTGTCTTTTTTCGTGACCGGTAAGGGGATCGCAACCCTTGGTGTGGTGTCGCCCACACCGCGCTCAGCCAGTGAGTGCACCGGCCAGTCCTATATAGGATCTGAACCCGCGGCGGGAGCGTCACTGAGCTCCCAGCGCCACCCTCTCCCGAGTGCACCACGGGGCCGGCCCTGTTTCACTTTTTTAATGCACATTTTTGGCTTGCCTGTCCAGCACTCCTGGTTCCAGTGGCACAGTTTGGATCTTCAGCACCTGTGGGGGTGGTGGGGAGAGGGCTTCCCTACATCCCTCCTCCAGGAGAGTTCCCGTACGCTTGGGCCTCAGGTTCCTGCTGGTGCCACTGCCAAGTCTGGCTCTGAGGGATGCTGCTTCTCTCCTCCTGCCCAAGTGTGAACATACAAGCCTGCTCCCACCGTCTTCTACATATCAAAGGACTGTCATCTAGGCCCCAAGAGCAAAATAAAAAAGCAGGGTTCTTAAGAATGTTTCCCAAAGGGGCCCTTGCATATATTCTAGTCCCTAGGGATGGACATCTAAATGCCTGGCCAGCGATCTTGGAGCACAGTGTTAAGAGAGACTCTGGGTTCAAATTCCAGCTCTGCCAGAAGGTGACGGGGTGGTCACGGCTAGGTGTATCATTTACCCTATCTATAGAACAGGCTCATGGGGTATTAGGGGATAGGTTGAGTGCTCCCCCCCACGATAGCATGGCAGTTTTTCTTGTGCAGTCCAAAGGTGGTAGATCCAGGACTGGTGGCTCAGCTGTCATTCTCAAGTGGAGCTTCCACCTGAGTCGGGGGTGGCTGTTATTTCCCAGCCTCCTGGGCCTGCACCTCTGCCTTTTTGAGGGACAGAATGGAAAGTGAAGTGGATTGTATCTTTTTTTTTGGCGGATGGCTGGTATGGGGCTTGCAACCCTTGACCTTGTTATAACACTGTGCTCTAACCAAGTGAGCTAACTGGCCAGCCCCAGGTTGTATCACTTCTGCACACATGCCGCTGGCCACCCCTGCTGTTGGAAATGTGGTCTTTAGCCAGGCAGTCATGTACCCAGGTAAAATTTTACCATTTGTAGGACAAGGGGACCATGAACATTGGAGAAAAGCAGGAAGTATGCACAGGTAGGATAATCTGTAAAACGCCACTAGAAGCAGTACAGCCTCATGGTTGAAAGGAAAGCCTGCCTGGGTTTGAATCCCATCTCTGCTTCTCCCCAGTTGCATGACCTTGAAGACACTCAGTTCCCTTGCTTCAGTTCACTTATAAAATGTGGATAAAGGGCCGGCCCGGTGGCGCACTGGAGAGTGTGCCGCTTGGGAGCACGGCGGCGCTCCCGCCAAGGGTTCGGATCCCATGTGGAGACCGTTTCCCGCTCACTGGCTGAGTGTGGTGCGGGTGCGACACCGAGGGTTGCAATCCCGTTACCGGTCAGTAAAAAAGACAAAAAGGAAAAAAAAATGTGGATAAGCACAGTGCCTACCTCTTAGCAGTGTGAAGTTTACAGTGTTAACACGTGACCTGCTGAGAGCACCTGATGTGATAAGTGATCAGTGCCCATATAAGGTTAGGGTGGCTCTGGCTGATGGCTAAATGGGAGTAAAATGGCCACCTGTAGTCTACTTCTGACACATTCATGCCTAGGAAAGGATTTTTCTTCATATATATATATATATTTTTTAAAAATGACCGGTAAGGGGATCTTAACCCTTGACTTGGTGTTGTCAGCACCACATTCTCCGAAGTGAGCGAACCGGCCATCCCTATATGGGATGCGAACCCATGGCCTTGGTATTATCAGCACCGCACTCTACGTGAGCCACAGGCCAGCCCCTTTCTTCATATTCTAACTCCATTTGTTCACTCAACAGATCTTATTTTCTGTATGCCAGGTATTGTTTTAGGCACTAGGGCACACAAAACAATGGACTGAACATTCCCGTGGGAAGACAGGCAATATGCCAAATATAGGTGTAAGAGAGTCAGACGATATTCAGTGCTATGGAGCAAAATAAAGCAAGGAAGATGGGTAAGGACCTGGGGGGAGGAGGCAGGATGATTAACTAAGGAAGAGAGGGAAGGCTTCCCTGAAGAGGTGATGTTTAAGACCTAAGGGCGGTAAAGAAGGAGCCATCCAGATACCTGATTTAAACGGTTTCAGGGAAGGCACAGACAAGGCCCCAAGGCAGGAGCGGAGATAAGAGGTGGGTGTGGGGAGAGGTGGGCCAGGTTGAGCCAAGCAGGCCAGAGGACTACCGTCCTGCTTTTGTGCCTCCGGGGAGGGCCTGTCATCGCTGACTTAGGCTTTGACAGAGCAGTTTAGCTGTCCTAAAGAAGCCTGGACACTTAAGCTTGTCCATTTCTTCCTCTGTACCTGGGTGCGTCGTCAATGCCAGACTTAGTGAAATAGTCTTCCCGGAGTCCGTCTCCCCGAGACTGAGCCCTCATGAGGAGGAGCCCAGATTAGCCTTCAGGACGCAGGGCCGCCTCCGTTCTTGTCAGTGAGGAATCCACCCGTAGGTTCCAGGAGCCGCTGGAGAACCTCAACGTCAGCAGTCTGTGCTGCTTCTCTCAAGTCCCGGGGATGCGAGCAACAGGCCTGCGGCGGGAGAAGGTAGCCCGAGACAGTTCATCTGGTGCTGGGGACGCTGTCCAGCGAAGGCTGCTCGGTCTGCGGAAAAGGCCTTGGTCGGCAGGCAAGTGCCTGCCCAGGAGCCTGGGAAGCCAGGTACGGCCCGCACCCTGGACGGGGCCCCCCAGTCAGGGCGACCCTCCCAGCTGGAACCCCGCCCCCAGCCGGACGCATCCTCACAGCCGGACGCACCCTCACAGCCGGGTGCCATTCTACCCTAGGGCACTACGCTAACCGGGGCATCCCCCGGAACTCATCCCAGCGTGCCCGCCTTCCGCGAAGGCCGACGAAATCAAAGTGCGCCCGGGGTCAGGGGTCAGGGGTCGGAGCCTCGGGTCCTCCTCCACCCCCGGCCAGCCAAGCAGACTCCTATTTAGCATGGGAGGACACGTGTTCAAAATGGGAAACGCACTCTCCGGCCCCTGCGAGGCGAAAGAGGGCGGTTGCCACGGGGCTTTCCGCTTCCGGCCGCCGCAGGC